TGTATAGACACGAGGCTACCGGAACGGAAAGCACGTTACTGCGAATCGGGGATTTAAATGCCTCGACCTTGAGAGGTTAAACGTCAATCTGGGGTAGACGATAAATTTGAGGTCAACTGAAAATCAAGCTCTACAAGTAGATAATTGAAATCAAAGATCGTTGTATGGGGAAAAGTGTATCGTAACTAAAAGGCGTTCGTCTTTATTCTTAAGATCATTATTTTTGTAGAAAACTTTTCTCATCTTTTTCTTATTGAGTTCCCTTCTTAGTGTATACGCGTCGTAATACATGGATATTCTTCTTGAGTATCCTAAAAGATTGTTGAACCACCGTAAACTGCTAAAATTGAAAAAAAGTGCCGTGTATCCGGATACTCATAGATCTACGTAATTCGATGCCGTTTCGAGTGATCGCCGTATTGTATTTCGACATGCGTCACAAGGGGACATAACTTTCCGTGTTTTGAAACACAAATTACCGACTGGACCAGTCATTCTTCGGATTTATACGACATCTGTAAGCGCATAATTTGTGGTTGCACGACATTGACTACTAGCTTAGAAGGTACAATTTCCGTTTCCTATTGTAAAATTTAGTTACTACTGTAATATTGAAATTTTCGTGAATATAGCATTTTTAAATATGGCGACCGAGTGTTAACCTTAAAATAACGCATAATTATGTCTGCATCTAAATTTTTTCATTATTATACGTACTAGCTAGATCACGATGTATGTTAATCCATAATTCATCCATAAATTTACCCAGATGATCTGCAATTTTAATATACTCTTTCTGACTTGTGTCTTTTTTACATTGTTAAATAAGACTCACAGAGCGTTATCTTTTCAAGAAAACTTAATCCATCTTGCATGCGTGTTATATCGTTAATGAATAACGGTTGTCACGTTGACAAGATCACAGTATAAAAATCACGATAACAACTGAGATGAACAAATATTTCCAGGAATCGAATTTATTGATACGTGAGCAACAATGAATTCCGTGAACAATATCACTTGGGAGACGTTGTAATCATCTTTGTTTATCCATGAAAAATAGACATTGTACATTTGTGCAGTGTCTTTTTTTGACGTGTCAAAAGGGGAACTTTCTCCTTCTTTGGAAGAAGAAAGAAGGAATCAGAGCTTGCAAACTCAGACAACTCTCGAGTGCAAGGTTCTTGGGTTTCATCGACCCACTGATTCGTGCCACTTCTTTTTCTCGTGCTAATAACTGCACGCGCGCCGTGCAGGTAGATCTACCAACCTCGATATAATAATAATAATAAACCGAATAAATCACTGACTGTGAAGATATCCCCTTCAGAAACACGGAATACTTAGCATATTTTGCTTAAATAATTATCAATTTTCAGAATTTAGTGGAAAAGACGAATTAGGACTTTCTAACTGGATGACTTTTAGCTGAGATTCTTCGATGATCACGAATTTAATAACTTTTCATCGATGTACCGCTATCTTCTTCTGTATTCAGGAAACATCGTTTCCTTTGACCTCGAAGAAAAAACAAAGTCTGTGCACATTCAGGCGATTAAAAATGTTTGATTGAATATTATTAGGAGTAATTTACTCAATTTTTTAAAATTTCAGAATAATCTTGCGTATTAATCTTGAAAAAGTTTAATATTAACAGAAAAAGTAGTAAAAAATTAAAAAAAAAGTTACCAACATTATATGTACGTATAGTTCATAAAAGCCGCTACTGTCAGTCGTGAAGTATCGATAACTGTCAATAGCCGATTAATAGTCGTATTGATAATCGTTAAAGAATTCGACCATTAATCTATCCATTCACACAGAAACACACATTAAACCTACGACGGAACCATCAATTTAAATTGAAATTAAAAATCCCTTAAAATGTTGAAGAATA